GAGCTTAGAACTAGAAGTGGACAGGTGCAGTGTGAAGTTACATTTTTCTGACTCCAGCACTCAAGCTCTTCATAGATCTTCTCTACTCTTAGATGGTCTTGAGTACTATGAAGCAGGCAGCACATATTTTTCTTTGATTTCTGGTTACTCTCTTTAGAATACTGTGTTCTCCCCCTTCATTTCCAAAGTCTGAACCACATAGAACAGTGAATTTGATCCCCAGTTTAAAAAAAAAAAAACCGGTGAACTTATGGCATGCATGTTATTGTTTTTCTTTTATTTATGTATTTATGTATTTATTTATTTATTTATTTTGATTTTTAGCACTGGGTTTACAGGGTCTCACTACACAGATTGGACTTATAGTGATCCTTCCTATTTTTCAGCCTCCCAAGCACTGGGATTACTGGCGCACACCACCATACCCAGTCTCAGTCCCCTCACCGTCTCAGCGCACCCTGGGGGCAGGGTCAGCATGGCAGGCCAGGGATCGAACCCCGGCCCCTACATCTGCCTAAGCAGGCACTTTAGTCTGCTGAGCTGTCTCGCCGGTTCTGTGTTTTTCTTTTAAGACAAAGGTGTTAATGTAGAGCTGTTTCTTTCTAAACTAAAACCTCACCATTCCGGTTTAATCCCAGTGTGGGCACTTGGTTTGGGGTTGCATTTCTGCGCTCGGTCTTCTCCATCACTGACATAGAATAGGTGTGGAAGTTACAGACCAACAGGCTGGACCTGCTCATTACTCAGCTTTTACAGCCTGGAGGTGCTATGCTTGCGGAATCTGAGTAAATTCTTACCTTGCCTAACACATAGTAGGGTCTCAAAAATGATCATCGAATGAAGGAATCACTTTCATAAACTTACTTAAATAACTTAGTAGTTAAGGAGAGTTTTAAATATGGCTTTTCTTGTAAACGTTGTGTTTCATAAATGCTTACCAGGGAGATTTTTGTTGTCCTTTTAGAAATGTTTTTTGAAAGAGTAGTATAAATCTTGCAGAGAAAGGAAAATGGGCTTTTAAAATTCCCCTTGGTCAGTTCGCTGACAAGCAGAGTAATACCGTTTTTCCTTCATGTAAGGAATCCTTCTGAGAGAAGTTCAGGACAGATTGTGAGGTGCGTTTACTAAGCATAAGTTAAAATTTGCTTTTTGCTATCTACTAGAATAAAGGATAACTCATGAGCCCTTTTTCTTTTTTAAAAAATGTATTTGGTACAAGGTCTCACTGTGCAGTTCGGACTCGTAGTGATCCTCTTGTCTCAGCTTCTCCAACGCTGAGATTGCAGGTGTACGCTACCACCCCAGACTCGGTGGCCAGCTCAGCTTGCCCTTGGGGACAGGGCCTGTAGGGCATGTGGTGCCCAGGATCGACCCTGATCCTTGCGCTTTCTTAAGCAGGTGCTTAGTCCACTGAGCTGTCTCGCAGCCCTCAGTTTTAGCTGTTCTTGTTGATGTTCTAAGCTTTTTCTATGTATGTGATCCTGTCTGCAAAGAAGCAGCTTTAGTTAAGAAGGAAAGAGGACAAGGATGGGAGGGAGAGAAGGAAGACTTCTTCCATTTATATATGGAAGGAGGCCCATGTCCATGTGTATTTTATTTCTGTGTCTGTGTAGTTTAGGATATAAAAGCTTAGGAGAGAAGCGCCTGCCTGGCAGGTTCAAGGTGCTAAATTTGATCCCCAGTTAAAAAAAAAGCTTAGGAGAATGACAGAATGAGTGATTGCTCTTATTCCAACTGCCCAAGAAGAAAGACATGGAGTAAATATCTTCCTTAAGAGTTTGAGAAAGAAAAGAAAATCCATCTTTCCTTCTTTATAGTTTCGTTACAGTTTGCTCCAGCCCAACAGTGACAGCCTTCCCTCTTATTTCACATTCTTAGTTTAGCTCTTTACTTTCAGAACTCACATTCTGCAAGATATCACCTGGGAACGAACCTAGTCAGGGAACATATGAAAGCTAAAAGGAATGATTTATTTACCACAATAATATCATTACTTGTGTTAAATGTCACTTAAATGTAAGCCTTGATATTTCTAAGCCGTATAGTCTTTTATTTATTTAGTCTGTAGTTCAGAGTGAAAAGCCTTACAGGAGAAATTTCCCAGCACTTTGACCTTTATTATGTAAGACTGCATTTGATTTAATCCTATTTGGGGTTTAATTTTTAGAACTTAAAGAGTAACCCTGATCAACCAGCTGTCATCTTACTTTTGAGACAAGTTCAGTGTAAGTCACTCCTAGAGTCACAAAAGCCACTCCCAGATGCTGTACTTGAGGAGCTGCAAAAAACAGTCATGTCCAACTCCACCTCTGTTCCGGCCTGGCAGGTAAGCTGTCTCCTTTTCCGAGTCCTGAGTTCCAGCTCCATGGTATCAGTTGGGGTCAGGGACATGCTCCATGCTCCTTTAACTCTTGATTTTAAACTCACCCTATGTCTATCAGTTTCAAGAATGTCGGGGATACTGTGGTTAGAGGCACCAAAGAAGTTTATTACTAATTTAGGACCCATTACTAAATGCTTCAAAACTTAATTATTGGTTATACAATTTTCCTCAATTTGAAACAGTGGAAAAATACTGTCTTTTACATGGGGAAAGAGAGTTAAAGAAATGTTGCTGGAATTTTTTTTTTTTTTTTTTTTTTTTTTTTTTTTTTTTTTTTTTTTTTTTTTTTTGTGGAACCAGGGATTGAACTCAGGCCCTTGCGCTTGCCAGGGAAGCGCTTATTCCACTGAGCCATCTCCCCAGCCCCTGCGGGAATTTTGTAATAAGGATATTATTGTGGTTTTTAAACTCTGCCTTTGGAAAGGATGTGTGTAGTTCTTGTCCTGCTCTTTTAACGTAATCCATAGCCAAGATTTTAGTGGGTGTTCAGTGCTTTTAGAGATAGGCATTTTCAGCACTGATGGTTATATCAGCAGGTTATTGGCTTTTTAACTGGCGCTGTCTACTAGAGTGAAATACACCGATCTTTGTGTCTACCATTCTTTTTGACAATGAAATACAAAGAAGCCTGTAATCACTTATTTCAGCCTGTTGTCTTTCTTTCTGTGTCCAGAGAAAGTATTGGAGACCTTTGGTACAGATTTTGTAGAAGCTTATTTTACTATAATTTGTTTTTTTTTTTCTGTGCTGTCATTGTATCAACTATTAACCTCTGACTTAAGTATGTATCTAATGGCATTGGACAGGTAAGTTACACAAGCTGAGCATCCGTTTTTACTCTAATCCTTGAAGAAATGGTTTCTTGCTTTCCCTCTTTTAGACTGAGTTTGACAAATGAGATCTAGATGCTTTATGTCTAAGGCCAGTTAGATACAGATTTCCCATTCTTTATCATGGGACTAATTACCTTATCATACTAAAAGGGAAGAAGCTGAAGGACAGATCAGATAATAAGGAAAAAGTTCAAGAGATTGTGTGTTTTATTTTATATTAAAGTTTTAAGAAAAAAGAACACCTTGAATTTTTACACGTGTATGTACGTGTTTACGTTCCACTCATGTCGAGGCTTTCAGCGTCCCGGCGCTTCCCCCAGCTGCCTTCCTCCCTGAGGCCTCACCCCACTCCCACAGCAAGGAACTGCTGCTCTGATTTGGCCACTTCTGTCTAGTTTTGCCTGTTTTCAGGCTTTATGTAAATGGAATGTTCATTTTTGTCTGGCTACTTTTATTTAGCGTGTCTGTGAGATTCCTCTTGTTTGAAATGGCCTTTGTTTGTTGGAATGTCTGTTTTTGTGTGGGTATAACTTTTCAATTTCAGGATATATTGTATCCATCTATCTATATATGCTTTTCCTATTCTGTACATGTATGTTTATCCCTTTTACTGCACCATATATGTCTGTATAGCCCACCAAATGCTGCTTGACTGTCCGTGGCCTCTCTTGACGGCACAAGGATATATGCACATTTTCCTTAGGAGAACTTGCTGAGCAGCTTCCCAAGTTGTTTGCCCCAGTTCGTACTCGCACTTGCACTGTGTGAGCGTTCTGCTGTTTTCTCTCATTTCGGTAGATTTGTAGATGTGGTGTCTTTCGGTTGTTTTAACTTGCATTTACCTGATGGCCAATGCTATTGAGTGACTCCACCTGGCTTAGCAGATATCTTCCTTTTCTTTGGTGCCTTTACATACTTTTAGTAGGCTTTTTATCTCAGGGAATAAATTAATTATTTATAACAGATTATTGGAATCCATTTAAGTACTTTACTGTTAGGTTTTGATAACATTTCTTAACTTTAGTAAGGTACTTGATTATTTTTATTGATTTATTTAGGTGTTCTATTTAAAAACTTCTTGCTTATTCTAAGTTCATAAAGGTTTTCTTTTAATGTTTTATTCTAGAACTTGTATTGTTTTATTTTTGCCATTTAGACCCATGGTTTCTCCTAGAATTATTTTGTGAATGTTGAACAGGTCAAAATTAATTTTTAATGTGAATATCTAACTGATCTACCTGTTCTTTGAAAAGATCACTCATAAATGAGTTAACTACATATGTGTCAAGTAACTATGTATGTGTCGGTCTCTTAGCTCTTTCTATTGTTTTTTGTTCTTTCTACTTTTGCTTATAACTTCATAGTGTTTAAAATGTCGAACTTTTTGCTTCTCCTCTTAGTGATTTTAGAACTTACGCGTTTCTATATGAACTGTTGATTTCTACATGCATATACAAAAGCCCTCTCTTTATTGAAACTGTGTGGCATTTGTACTTTAATTTGGGGAGAATTAAAGAAAAAATGCTCTCCTGAATTGTTAAGGTTTATTTATTTATTTTTTTGGTGGTACCAGGGATTGAACTCAGGACCTTGCGCTTGCCGGACAAGCACTTAATCCACTGAGCTCTCTCCCTGGCCCTAAACTGTTAAGTATTATATATAATTCTGTTTTAATTTTCTGAAGAAGTCTGTTTGTATAAAAGATATCTTGTTTTTTAACTGTTTACAAGGATTCACTATTGAAGCCATTTAGGCCAGGAATTTTATTCAGGGCAAGTTTTACATTACAGATGAAATTTCATGTGTATATGCAATTAAGATTTCATGTTTCTTTTTAAGTATTGGTGAGCTGCAGAGACTTTTTCCATTATATCTCAATTTTAGACTTAACTGGTATAAAATTTTTCATAATACTGTATCTTCTTCAATGTTCGCAAGATTAATAATAAATTTCTCTTTTTATATTGGTGGTTTGTGTCTGTCTGTCTCTCTCTGTCTCTGTCTCTGTCTCTCTGTCTGTCTCTGTCTCTGTCTGTCTCTGTCTGTCTCTGTCTGTCTCTGTCTGTCTCTGTCTGTCTCTGTCTGTCTCTCTCTCGTTTTTTGGTACTGGGGATCAAACTCAGGACCTTGTGCTTGCCAGGCAGGTGCTTATGCCTCTGAGCTATCTCTCCAGTCCTGTATGTATGTATGTATGTATGTATGTATTTATTTATTTATTTATTGTCTTTCTGAGGTAGGGTCTCCCAGGCTGGTCTTGAACTCTCAGCGATCCTCTTGCTTCAGCCTCCCTCGTGCTGGGATTGCAGGGGCGTGCCACTATGCCCAGCCTCTTGGTTCTCATTTTCTTTGGCTAGCTTTAGCAATTTTATGACTCTTCAAAAAGCCAACTTTCTGTTTTGTTGACTTTTATTATTCCTTTTTTACATACTAATGATGTTTCCTCTTTTCTGTTTCATTTGCTTTACTTTTGGGGGTTTGTTTTTCCCCAGCTTCTCAACATAAAATTTTGTGTTCTAATATACGAATCCCACAAAATTTTATGTAGTGCTTTCATTTGTCAGTCTTCAGAATATTTTCTAATTTCCATTGGCATTTTTTTCACTCATTTTTAAATAAAGTATGTTACAAAATTATTAATGTGGAGTATTCTTAGATATTGTGCTATTGATTTCAAGTTTAATTCTAGTTAATCAGAACATACTTTGTATACATTTGGTCTTTGAGATTTGTTTTATGATCTAACATATGGTCAGCTGTGGTAATTGTTGCATGTGTAGTTGCAAAGAATAGCTCCTTAGCAGTTATTGAATGTAGTCTTCGAAATATGCCATTTGATGCAAGCTGGTTGTTTAAATCTTCTTACATTTACTTATTTACTGTTTGTTTATTATCGCTGTTGAGATAGAGGGTTTTTTTTTTTGTTTGTTTGTTTGTTTTCCCTGAGATAGAGTGTTAAAATATTCCTCCCAATTGTGATTTGGGTTTGTCTACCTTCATTTCCATCAACTTTTGTTTGATGAATTCTTTTATTATGTATATACATATATAGTATTTATGCTGAATGGAATTACTATAAAGTATCCCACTTTACCACTTAATGATTGTCTTAAATTCTTGTGTTAGCTATAGATGTAATATCTGCACAAACTTTTTTTGATTAGTATTTATGTAATACACCGGATTTCAGATGATGTTTTGATTTTATCCTTTACTGCCATAGGAGACTTGTAACGTCAGACTAGATACGCAATTGGGTTGTTCCCAATAGAACGGGCAATGTAATTACACCCCTTTTTTGGGTGTAATTTTTATGTTTTAGGGCGTAGACCTTACTGATAATTACAGAAAAATTTGACTTCATCAGAAAGTACTGCATGTGCTGCGAGTGGGGAAGCAGGCTGCACACGGAATTGAAATCCCTTGCCCCCATCCCTTCCTGTTCCTCAGTGGCTGGCGCAAGTGTATCAGTCTCAAGGAATGCTGAGCGCTGCGGAGATGTGTTACAGAAAGAGCCTCCAGGTGGCGTCCCAGCAGGGCAGCTGGAGCGGGAAGCTCTCGAGTCTGTTGAAGCTAGCGCTGCTTGCACTACAAGTCTGCATGGTGAGATTGTGTTGTAGTTACCTTCAGGAAGGCCTGATTCCCTTGTCTCCTTTTAAAATGAAAACCTTTTGTGCAGTTTTACTTCATGGAATTCCTGGCGTCTCATCGTTTTCCATTGTGACCTCTTGGTAGACTTGAAGGATGAGGACTACAGCAGAAAAACCATCGTTACTTGGGGAATATGCTAAGATTATAATTTGAGGCTGGGGAGATAGCTCAGTAGAATAAACACCTGCCTGGCAAGCGCAAGGTCCTGAGTTCAATCTCCAGTACTGCAAATAAATAAATATAAAAATAAAAATATTTTTAAAAGATTGTAATTTTAGTAGTTGAGTTGTAGTAGAATATACATTTTTTGTTTCTTGGTGGTACAAATTAGTATTAAACTCTGTTGCTCATCTTTGACAAAGATGCTAGTATTTAACAGTTTAAATGTTTCTTAATTCAATAGGAATTAATTCTTTTTTTCTTTTTAAAATATACTTTTAACTATAGAATAGATTCAGATTCACAGAAAGTACAGGAGTCTCATATACAGTATTCCCAGTTCCTGCTATTATCACCAGGTTTTTCCTTATTAAGTTATTTACATCTCCTTCCTATATCATGTTTTCTATATTTTAGGCTAGACAGGCCACACTTAAGGAGTGGAAAGTTATGGTCTACCTCTTTGAGACTAGATAACGTAAATAATTAGGGTACTTTTGTACAAAAGATTTCTTTCCTCGCTATTTCAATAGGATATTCTTTAGGAGAGATTTTTCGTAACTCTCAGCACATGAGGCACTGTCCTGCATTTGTCTAGGTTAGTGGACCTACAGAAGAACAGGCCTGGTGCCATGAATCTGCATCTTCTATGGCTACACTGGGCTCTGCACTTGGTTAATGCTCTGTGGTCACCATCCTGAAATTCTTAAGTTTTGAGCAGAGTGCTATATGTTTCTGTTTGCACTGTGTCCCATGGATCCCACTGGACCTACAGAAGAGCAACTGCCAGGAGGGGAGGAGCCTCTGATATAGCCAGCACGAGACACAGTTCTAAGTGGCTGTCAGACCTGGAGAAGCCGCCAGCGTCTTACTGTGGTACCACTCAGGAGGGGCCGAGGCTGTGATTAGAAGGACATGGGAGTGTTGGGCTGGGTGAACGAGGCCTCCTGCGCTGCGTGTAGACAGCTCAGCCTGGGAGCTGAGGGAACGGGGAGCAGGCAGCACATACTGGCTGTGCATGGAGATGGAAATACTGAAAAAGAAAGGCATTTTAATTGAGGCTGTTCATAAATGAATCTAAGAAAAATGATCATAGAAGAGGCACAGGGCCTGCTATAGTTTATATCCAGGGACAGAGTAAAAGTCTTCTTCCAATAAATTTTAAAGTGATAGGAGCAGGCAGACTAAAAGTCCATTCTGATCACATCATTCAGTATGCTTGCTGCAAATAGGAACTTTTGTCTTATACACTCATCTTTGGGCTAACTTTAGCTTCATATTTCTTGAAATGTAGGGAGTGAGTTATTGAAAGCATCAATGAAAGTATTGTGATGTAGGTTTGAAAAGTTGTTAGGAACAGTTTTCTAAGTCCTTGCCTTCCCTTGTATCTTTGTTACGCATGCTCCAAGTCTCACGGCTCCTGTATTTATGGAAGGCGCCCCGCAGCCTTGTCCTCTGTTAGGATTCATTGCGCTTCTGTTCTTTGATTACACACATACAGCTGCCCGCGCTGCTCTCAGGGAATAGTGCTCTAACATTTGTTTCTTAAAATGTAGTGTTTGAAATGGACTATGTATTGACTCAGTGGATTGACTATTCAAAGTGAAGTGGACTCTATATTCAGTCCTTATATTGACTTTACTTCAGATGTATATAATGGATACTTGTAATTAAGAAATCTTGCTTACATTTTAAGGCTTTTAATGAAAACATTTTGCTGCATTTTTTCTTCTTCTTGGTTCAGGTAGCATTTAGTTTCAGTTACTGTTTTTTAGGAAATACTTAGATAAATCATTTATTTTTATTCATCTATTTTTTTTTTTGTGGTATTGGGAATTGCGAAAGCCAGGCAAGTGTTATACCACTGAGCTACAACCCCAGTGATATGTTATTTTTGAGGCAATGCATATTATAAATATATTATTTTATATAATTATATAATTAAATTAATTTGTAGTATAAGTAATTCATATAAGCATTTACCCCATAAGGTGATTTTTTACAATTTTCAGTGTTGACAACTTTAATATCTCTGGTCTGTCATGTACTTTCTATCGTGGTTTTATTGAAATGTTTCAACAGTACTAAAGAGTTAATTAACTTAAATTGAATTTTGTACGTTTGGTAGACCGAAAGCTTACTGACTGATTTTATCCTCCGATTATGGTATAATAATGCATTTTTAAACAAATGTTTTAGTATTTTTAGAATGATATTTCCATTAGGAAGCCTTTTATCTCAGTCTATCCTGCTTTGTAGCTCCATAAGGACCAGGATCAGATCTTAAATCATTTTTAGTAATTCTCTTCCTTAGAGTCTCAATAAATAAAAATGGAATTGTATACTTTTGAGTCAAATGTGTCAAAAACTTGAGCTAATCTTTACCCTGTGTTCATAAAGGCTAACGTTTCCAGTGATCATTGGCCATCCTTGGTGCAAGAGGCTACAACCGAGGCCTCGAAACTTTGCTTTTGTCCGCTGGCTGTTCTTTTGCAAGCTTTATTACAGTTCAACCGCAAAATGGGGGCAAGGTATGGAGAATCTTTGTTGTTGTTTTTTTTTCTTGGAAATGAATTCTGCTTCACATTAGTCTTTCCAAAAACAGTCAAGGAAAGATGTATAATTGGTTTAACCAGCTAATAAATTTTCAAGTCACTCTTTTATTGCTGTCTCCTCTAGAATGTTTGGTTAAAGTTTGGTAGTAAGGGGAAAAAATGTTTTATTTGTTTAAAGAAGTTTGATGCAGATATCAGAGGTTTTATGTCACAGTGTTTCAAGTGAGAAAGTCCTTGTTCTCATCTGTTTTAGGATGCACCAAGTGTAACGTGCATTCCAGAATCAAAATCAAGAATGCCCAACTTTGAGATAACATTAACAGAAATTCTCAGGCAGTAGGTAGAGAAAAATGTAAAATATTGAAAGATTTCATATGTAGAAACCTAAAACTGGCTCAAATTAAAATATAAAAAGTCTAGCAATATTTTTGTTGGAGGGTGGAGATGTAGACCAAACTAACGTGAGGCAAATTACCTAGAGGCCAGATGGATGAATAAATAGGCAAAAGTATTTTAAAATTCTTAAAACAAGATTAGATGCTAATAGACAGCACTCAGTACAAAGCAGTGACTAGTGAAAGTCATTTGGAACAAACATTACTGGGACAGAGTAGATATTGTAGAGAGAGGGACTAATATAAAGATCTGTGTGAAAGACATGGCACCAGGTAGGGATGAAAAATTAAGACCCACGTAACTAATCAGCAATTTCAGCATTTTATTGTTATTTATTTTGTCCTTTTGAGACCGCATCTCACTGTGCAGTTCAGGTTGGCCTTGCGTTCACTTTGTAGCCCAGACTGGTCTTGAGCTCACAATAATCCTCCTGCCTCAGCCTCCTGAGTGCTGGCATTACAGGCGTGCACCACCACACCCAGTTTGTTTATTTTTGGCAGTGTGTGTGTGTGTGTGTGTGTGTGTGTATATGTGCGTGGCTGATTTCACCGAGTAATGTCTTAGCTTATAAACTTGCAGTGAACTCCTTCATTGATGGATGTCGTGAAAAGCTTAGCACATATTTCCTCTCCTCTATAAACCTGTTAACAACCCCCATATTTTTTTTTGTGGAACTGGGGATTGAATTTAGGTCCTTGCACTTGCCAGGGAAGCACTTATTCCACTGAGCCATCTCCCCAGCTCCCATAATTTTTATCATGTCCCAAACTTAACCCAAAAAAGAGCAGCCTAGGAAAAAGCTGACTATGTAATTCCTGTGCAAAAACTTCCTTTAGGCAAGTTCTTTAGTTCCTACTTGGGAGATTCGATTTAGCAGCTCTTACGTTACTACTGTATATGTTGTTTCTACCAATACAGAAGTGTCAGTCAGAAATGTTAGTAAAGAAAGAAAGAAAGAAATAGAACGTAACTACTAATTAGCCTACCATGTGTGTTTATATAGTGTGCTTATCCTTGAAAACATCTTTGTAAACCTCTCACGCAGATGCTAAGTATTTCTTGTCCTACGCTCTGTCACCGTTGTATTATCCGTTGACTGCATTTATGCTTGCCTTCAGTGGGCTAGCAGTAGAACACTCATCTTTTCCACATTCTTTTCGGCATGAGCTTTGATTTCCTTATCTTCGGTGGGAATAGACACGGCAGCCTATCTGATGAGGTTGCGAATACTGCATATGATCATGTGTGTAAAACACTTAGCATAGTAGAGAGTGCATGGTAAATGTTTAATAAATGTTAACCATTATTACTATTATTATTATTATTAATGTATTTGGTTGTTACAGGGTCTCACTACGCAGCTAAGACTTGTAGTGATCCTCCTGTTTTCAGCCTCCCCAGCACTGAGACTACAGGCATGCGCCCCACGCCCAGACTCTGAGGCCGGCTCAGCCCGCCCTGGGGGGGGGGGTGGCGCTGGTGCGGCATGTGGTGCTCGGGATCAAGTCCCTGTGCTTGCTTAAGCAGGCGCTTTAGTCCTCTGAGCTGTCTTGCAAGCCCTATAACCCTTATTATTACCTGAATAAGAAATCACAAAGTAATCAGATACCACATCTGCAGATGAAGGAGAAAGAAAATAATGCATACAATAGTAACATCATATACGAAGTGTCTCATGTCAGTTTACATGCTTTCACTAAAGAGGTCCCTTTTCTTCCAGAGAGACACGACGACTCTTGGAGAGGGTGGTGTACCAGCCTGGCTACCCCAAATCAATCGCATCTACTGCACGTTGGTATCTGCTGAGACATCTCCATGCCAAAAATGACTCTGAGCTTATTGAGGTAAGGCATTGATTTTTATTTAAGATATCTGACCTTGGACCTAAAGGTGTAGTATTATTTTTCAAAATTGCTCCACTTTATAATTGAAAAAGTGAGCCATGTAATTTGTTGATCAACAAATACTACAATGTCTACTATTATATCTTTTGAAAATAGAAAAGTCATGGTGCCTATGACATGAAAAGTCGAGTGATGCTGACCTAAAACTCTTACGTGGTCCAGACATATGCCCACCTACGGTCAGCCTGAGGCAGTGCCAGGAGTCATGGTTCGCTTTTTTTGTAATCAGAAAGGTGTGAATTAACTACACTGTCTTTATTTATCTTTGTTGTCTTTAGAAGTGGGTAGATAAAATATTTCAGCCAAAGGCAGGTCACAATAGAAAAGCCAAAGGAGAGATGAGTGAGCTGGCCGTGGTCTTGTAGTGACACGACAGCAGCGGCACTGTGTTGTTTGCTTGTGTTTCTCCTTTCCTGTTGGGGAGTGGGAGGCACCCTTTGCAGTTCGTGTAATCCAGGGCTTCCCAGCCTCGGCACCATTGAAAGCTTGGACTGGACAATCCTTTGTCGGTAGTAGGTGCTGTCCATATGGTATTGAGCACTTAGCAGCGTCCCTCGTAACTCTGGCCTCCACCCCACTACTGCCTACCTTGCCAGCCAAAAATGTCTTCTACACATTGTCAAGTGACCCCTGAGGTCTGCTTTCCAGAAGTAGGGAGTGAAACTGTGGATGACACAGTTTTTTTAGTGTGCTGTGTAGGTTTAAAAAAGGACCAAAGTAACAAGTGCTGGTTACAATATTTTATGGCCATTGATGCAGCAACAAACAGGTAGATAGGCCACGGGGGGGGGCAGCAGGAAAACTCATGATAGCTGTGGTTTTCTTTTAAGATAAACAGTGTTCATGTATGAGTTGTGTTTTTCTAAAGTAAAATTTCAGCACCCAAGTTGAATTGCAGTACTGGCACTTTGTTTTGAGTTGTGTTTTGCGAACTTGTGTAGGCTGACCATCTCTGGGGCAGAGGAGGCAGGATCTGATGAGGGGTTCATGTTGTCTTTGAAAGCAGTTTGCTGCTTCCTGTTTTTTTTTTTTTTTTTCTTCTTTTTTCCCTATCTTTTTGAAACAGTGCCTCACTCTGCAGTTGAGGCTGGCTTTGAGCTCACTTTGTAGCCCAGGCTGGTCTCAAACTTGCAGCAATCCTCCTGCCTCAGCCTCCTGAGTGCTGGGATTACAGGTGTGCACCACCACACTCAGCTATTCTTGTTTTTCCTATAAAGCAAATGTGACAATTTTTGCTCTCTATGGGATAACTGTATCTAAATATATAAACATATTTGTATTTGAATTTTTTTTTTGGAAAATGTTAAGATATAGATAGATATAGATAAAGATATAGATAGATATAGATAAAGATATAGTTAAGATTCCTTAACTTTAGCCAACAATTTCAGAAACACAGTGAAAACTAATAAAAAATTTATTTTCCTTTTGGTACAATAGACCATATTAAAGAAACTGTACAGAAAACAGTTCTTGTAGAAAGCCATTCTAATCAACATATTGAAGGTGGAACACGTACGTGTTGGGAAATAGTTTACTGTGGGTCTGCTGTATTCCTGAATGTCCTGAGAGTAGGGGTCCTGGTTATTCTGTGCTCTAAATTGTCTTTTGAGAAATACACAGTGAGCAGCCATGGGAGACAGAGATGCTGTCTCTCTGGACAGCAGCGCACGTGCATTACTTTACTCCATTCAGCCACCCATCCTAAGAGATTTTAGTCTCTGTGGCTCAGGGTTCCCATTGTATAGCACGGCTGCATGTCGGAAGGACGCTACGTATCATCCACACAGCCTTGTCCAGCTTACGAGCCATGGGTAGATACCAACATGTTGATGTCCTTTCCGTTTGCTTCTCTGATGCGGGAGTCCTGTCTTCTGGCAGCACTGTGCAGCTGTCATGGGCTTCCCTGTTAGCTTGCAGGCGCAGCAGAATCTCAGGCACTTCACAGTGCTGGCACTGAATGACCGAAGGACATGTCAGTCAGTGAACGCTTACCTGAAGTGTAGCCTTTGTAGTTTGTAGAATTTCTGCAAACTGAGGAAGGTTCTTGATAAACCCTAAAACCTGGAGTCTAGATCCTAAACTGTGGTCTTGAAGGAGAGATGTGTCGTTTGCACAGCTCTGTATATGAAGCGGGCGTTTTGGTAAGAGTTTAGACATCACACACTAAATAGAGTGTCATGTCTAAGTGTTTTGGTAAGGCCACTCAAAAAAACCTTAAGTCTGTGTCTGCCTGCCTGCCTGTCTCTCTGTCTGTCTTTTTTTCTTTGTGTTTTTTTTTTTTTTGTTTTGTTTTGTTTTTTTTTGTTTTTTTTTTGAGACAGTGTCAGGATGGCCTTGAGCTCACTATGTAGCAACTCATGGCAATCCTCCTGCCTCAGCCTCCCGAGTGCTGGGATTACAGGCATGCACCACCATGCCTGGCAAAAACCTTTCATTTTATACAGGGATGCCAGTAATAATAGGCAGAATGTTATCACAATGCTAGCAAATTGTGTTGCTCTTATGTTAGCTTTGACTAAAAAATTTATTTCAGCCAAGTGACAAAGATTGCATGCAGTCCCTTTTTCTTAGGTAGTTTAGTGTTGTCTTTTCAAGATTGCTACGTCTCAGAGTCTAAATGCGTATCGATCTTATTAGTAAACGCAGACGCTAACATTCGTGTATGATTTCCCACAGGTGCTGGTAAAAAATGCTGAAACTCACGGAGACACAAGAGCGCTGGAACTGAACCAAAAGCTATCCTCGCAATAGCTGTATTAAAGAAGTAAAGGAGTAGTTAGCAGAATGAAGCAACGAATCAAGACTTTTCCCCAAAGCAACATATTTTAAAACTATAATCATTCATATTTTTTTCTTTTTTTAATCTAAGGGAGCTGAAGTTCTTAACATAGGGATGTAACTTTTCATTGACTCTTAATCAGATTTTAACCTGAAAAACATCTTCAGTTTGCAAGTCCAAAATGAAAAGAAAACCGTGACTCTCTTAGTTGCTGTTTTTCTAAGCCATTATTCTCTGCATCTTGCGTAATACATAATAGGGTATCATTTTTTGGTAATGCCTTATAGTAAAGCCTTTATAGTCATTTTATAAATACTATGTTAAAGCAGAATTTTCATTTGTTAAAAAATAAATTCGAGGATTTACTTTCTCCTGTGAATCCTGTAGCTCCCCAGGCCAAGTCATCATGAAATGCAAATCATCCTGTAACCTATTTTGCTAGTGTTTCATTTCCTGCTTCTACTGAGGAAGCCGCTGTCATTGTGGGCCCTGGGCTGCTGCTGGATGTGTTTTTGTAATTCAGAACACTCAGGTGTTGCCTGCAGTTAAAAGCTGTCATGGGAACTTGGTGGAAAGTAATGCTGACAATATTTAATCGATCATGCAGTTCCTTCAATTATGAAAATACTTGAACTTTCTGAAATTAAAAAAAGTGTTTTGTTTCTTTTGTAGTGTCAATATGAGGCATAATTTCTTAATTTTAAATTTTAAAACTTCAAAGTACAGTATCTTTTTTCCCCTAACATGTTGTGGTTTTCAGATATGTTTTAGTGTTTGCATGTTAAAGAGCGTGGGGATTTTGACCAAGTTGGCCCTTGTCTTTCTGCGGGTCCTGCATCCTCCCTCTCTGGGTGCCTGTGGACAGAGGCTGCTCAGCCTTCCTGCCTTGTTCCTGGTCGTAACGTACAGAACTCAGCTACGGTGTACGAACAGACTGTCAGTTTGCTGGAGGAGCTGCTTCCTCTACTTTTGTTTATGTACTTTTTAAGGATACATTCATGTATCATATACGGTAGAACAGTTTCCCTTTGTGTAGTTGAAATAATGTTTGAGTTGAGGGCTGTGGGGGTATTTTCTTAGGTGAGGTCCCTAGGCGGAAGAAAGTCTGCCGGCATTGGCAGCAGCAAGCACGCTCTTACTGTTTGGCCTTTCTGTTGGCCATTGTCACACACCATTCTGTATGCTGGCAGAACCGCATGGCGCGTGCATGGTGTCTGTCCTGTCACGTGCGCATGTGTGTGCTCTGTGCAGCTGCACTAGACAGCAGGGCTCTGTCCTGCGGCGTCCTCAGATGCCCTGCCCTGAAGCAGCCCAGAGTGGCTCCACACAGATAAAAGTCAGAACAATTGTTTAGAAAATGTGCCCTGTTTTTGTTTTAGAAAGTAAGATCTTACCTACACAAGACCATTAATGGTGTGTAGCTGGGTTTTCTAGAAATGTTATCACAGTTCAAAGTGTTCTGATGTTGGAATTTTTTTCCCTTTAACAAACAAGATAATTTAAAATATCTTTTTCTTAATAGTTTTGAACTTAGAATTGAAAATGCCTATTTGTTTTAGGGAAGGGAAATGGTTCCAGGGAAGGGAACATCAAAATTGGAATATGCACAGAAGCAAAGAAGGGCTTCTATATTGCATCGCTGGACTGGGACGTGATGTGTGTGTCATGGTCTTTACTGAGTTTGCATTATTTACACAGTTAATTTGGCCCTCATTCTTTGCCACGTCTTTCTCTGTATGTAATACACGTTACAAAAGCATTAGAATATTAACTGTTCTGGAGATAAGGTGGAAATGAAAGTTTTCTTGCTGTTTCAGCCTGTGGTGGGCAGAGTTCTGACCTCTAAGCATATTCGTGTCCTGGTCCCTTGAGCTTGTGAAGACAGGACGAAAGACTTGGCATCTGGGACTGAAGGTATGTAACCCGTGATGGGTTACACGTCCTGGCTTATCCAAGTGGAACCATTTTAATCAGAGGAGTCCTTAAGAATGGGCAGGGGGATCTGCTGTGCTTGCAGACCACAGAGAGCAACTGTTGTGCAGAGGTTCATGTGGTGAAGAGGCAGGCCAAGTCTTGGGGCCATGACTCTGAGGGAAAGTGGCCCTCGCTCGGAGAACACTGTGGTGGAAGTCAGCATCTTCAAATAGAGTTATTTGTGCCTGCTACTTGTCAAGTGGGTTATACTTTTACCAAAAAAACTCACATTAAATAAAACACAGTGATTTAGTATCTGAGTGCCAGCTTGAATGTAGAAGACCTGCCTTTTAGATACCAATCTACTCATTGCTTAATCTTTGTGAAGAAAAAGTGCTGCATAGGTTAGTATAGATGATCAGAAACTTCTGGAAAAACACTCTTTCAGAAGACTAACTTTAACTGATCTAATAGATATGGGAAGGAGAAACATTTCCCAAGTTGTCTCTGTAGCTATACATGCTGGCTTTGGAAGTTTGGAAATTAGCCTGGAAGAACATATGCTTGTGTGGAGAAAAGACAACTATAGGTTTTGTCTTTGTAGACTGAGTTCCATGTTTTCCTGCATATGTGCGTTTCTGGCAGTGCTTGCTTCTCTTCTGCTTGGGACACAAGTGGCTCTGGGCACAAGGGAAAAGCCAGATGGAGCAGATGGATTTTGTGTGGAAAGAAGGGGAGGAGGTGAGGCAGAGAGAAACACATTGCTGAGAAGGCAAATTTCTGTTGTTACCAGCAGGTTCTGTGGGGTGGGAGTAAATAAACTCACATTTTCAAGTCACCGGATCTCTCCAGTGAGTGCCTTGGATCAGGTGCTCTCTGTGCGCTTGGAAGGCTTTTTAAAGACACACATTATCACCTTGTTGGACCCAGATTGACAACAAATAGCGGTGAATAATTTGTGAACATTAAGAAATGTAGGCAGTGTTAAGCTTTTCTACTAAGGTAGCTTCTAGTAAGATCTAGTGTTGTGAAGGATATTTGTACTGCACCGGCCAACCATTTATTTGCGTTAGTAAAGGAGGGTTTTGTGTATATGAGATGGCAAGTGTTGCTCCTACAACTTCAGTCTCTAAGGATTTACAGGCAGAGACAGATTGAAGGTGTACCATGCGCCATTTTGCACCATCACCTCTAATTCTTGCATCATTTTTACAGTACGTACCTTTGTCTTACAGAAGGACTTAGATTAATTAACCTCCAAAATGGTTTATATTCTTAGGCAGTCTGTGTAATAAATGATTTCCAGTAACAGTGTCAGATATTGTTAATGATTGCTCTCAATTCAAAGAAACATAGATGGGTTGAGGTGAGTATCTTCAAGCCTGACCGTTTTCCTAACCTGCTGTCGTCAGCTGTTGCAGTGTACCATTTGGCACAATATGAATACTAAGAAGAAAACATGAGAAAGAGAAATTGCTCCAAAGAAGTAACTTCGTAAATATAAACCTAGGTAAAACTAAGGATTACTCCACATTTAGATTTTGAACTTCATAGACACCCAGGCCAACTTAATTGGTAACAGCCCCGCATTCCAATTTCTCTAGCACCTTTACAAGCCCAGCGACTTTCTTCTGGACGTCCCATGACTTAGTATGTAGCACTTCCTTTGGATCTTGCTGTCCTTTTATCTCAGAGGAGATAATACGATTTATGTGTTTGTTCTGTGTCATTACTCCACATTTCCCTTTTTTCATTTACCCCACATTTCGTAAAGATTTTGTGTTGGTGTCATGAATACGTGGAAGTCTTAGGGCTAAGTGATGGAACGCAGCATAGAGACTGGATAGATTTCTGGGTTTAAAGGTTATCTTAGGTTGCAAGGATGCAGGTTTGTCCACTATGTAGACATTACCCACTTAAAGTCATCCCCTAAATATTTGCCTTGTGAACACAGTGCACCACTTTATTGGACAAGCATCTGCTAGCTGAGTACTGAAGGCGTTTACTCAGCATAAGGGCTGTGGGATTCCTTTCATGGCTGTTTTGTAGCCATCAAAGGAGGAAATATTTATGGAGGAAATATTGTTTACCGTACACTGGCACCGGTACCATCTGCACCCAGTCCCTGTCCATAATGTTTCCTCAGCTTCAAGGCTGCTTCCTGAGACAGTAGAAGGAAGTGCTTTTACAATAGTGAAATGGTCCATCACTAGAATTTTGACCCAAGAGAAATCTATATATTGTACTTCCTTTTGTTCATTGCTAGAATTATTGCAATCCAAGCTTCTTTTCCTTATACATAGTAAGAGGGGCTCACTACGTAGATCGGACTCTTAGTGATTCTCCTGTTTTCAGCCTCCCAAACGCTGGTATTACAGGTGTGCACCACCACGCCCAGTCTCTGTCGCTGTCTCAGAGTGCCCCGAGGGAGGGGTCAGCACAGCACGGCAAGGATTGAACCCCTGCTGCTGCGCTCTGCCTAAACAGGTGCTTTAGTCTGCTGAGCTATTTGGCCGGACTAAGAGAAACTTTTTAAATTCAACTATATTTAGATAATGATCGGAATCAGAATTATGAGAGAACCATAGAAATTGCCTTTCCCCACAAAACTGGAGCTTTTATAAAAGTAATCAAGGGCCAGTCAGATACCTCAGCAAACTAAAACTCCTGCTTCGGCAGAGCGCAGCAGCCAGGGTTCAATTCCCACTGTGCATACCAGTCCCGCCCCCAGGGCATATGCTGCCGGACACTGGGCGTGGTGGCGCGCCTGTAATCCCAGCTCTTGGGAGGCTGTAAACAGAATCACTGAGTTTGATCTACGTAGTGAGACCCTGCACATCCTGTAGACCCTGCCCTAAATTCAAAAAAAGAAAAAAGTAATCAGTATCACAGGTCATCATGGTACCTGCTACCAAGTATCAGGTACCTGACACCTAGTGTATCAGGCACTACTAAGTAATCTCTATACTGAAGAAGAAGTACAACATAATGTGAAAATATTCTTCAGCCTGGTGAGGTTAAATGCTGCATCAGTCTAGCAATGTAACCTCACTTCTGACCCTCAATGATAAGTGTTTGGTAGGTGAAATGAGTTAATCTAGTTAGACTGTTTTGAGGAGTTTTAAGATTTAGTCTCTGATATTTTAATATTTTCCTTCTAATTTGTTCAGTAGCCTGCGAATTGCCCCCATTTTAAGAGAAGGAGGCTGAAACACCTAGGAACACGCCCCAGGTCACATCTGTGGCACTGCTTTTAAAGGCTTATGAGAACCTCAAGACCCCTCAAAGTTTGCTCAGAACAGAAGTTCGAGTTCTTTTTCTGTTTTCTCCTTTTGTGAAATTTGAGTTGGAGAGGTGGATGTGACTTATGACAGAATGGTGACTGTATCAGTCATTTCTGATTCATAACATTTATCAAGTGCATAAATGTTTTCTAAAACTGAAATAGTAGGACTCTACCAAGGAACAACGGGTTATGGAAATAATCTATTTGGCCAGAATATTTCACAACTGTATGTTAAGTCTGGACTAAGATGTATGATTCTAATCACATGGAGATACAAATGCCTAACTGGGTAGAG